CTGTGTGTATCTAATAATCTAATATCTGTGTGTATCTAATGTTATCTGTGTGTTTCTAATATTATCTGTGTGTATCTAACAACCTAATATTATCTGTGTGTATCTAATAATCTAATATTATCTGTATGTATCTAATATTATCTGTGTGTATCTAATATTATCTGTGTTTATCTAATATTATCTGTGTGTATCTAATAATCTAATATCTGTGTGAATCTAATGTTATCTGTGTGTTTCTAATATTATCTGTGTGTATCTAACAACCTAATATTATCGGTGTGTATCTAATAATCTAATATTATCTGTATGTATCTAATATTATCTGTGTGTATCTAATATTATCTGTGTTTATCTAATATTATCTGTGTGTATCTAATAATCTAATATCTGTGTGTATCTAATGTTATCTGTGTGTTTCTAATATTATCTGTGTGTATCTAACAACCTAATATTATCTGGGTGTATCTAATAATCTAATATTATTTGTGGGTATCTAAGAATCTAATATTATCTGTGTGTCTGGGTGTGCCTAATATACATGAGTGTCTATGTGTGTCTGTGTGTATCTAATATTATCTGTGTGTCTACGTGTATCTATTATCATCTGTGTTTCTGTCTGTATCTATTATTATCTGAGTGTGTCTGTGTATATGTAATATTATCTCTGTGTGTATTTAACATTATCATTTTGTCTGTGTGTATACAATAGTATCGGTGTGTTTGTGTGTATCTAACCCCTTAAGGACTGAGCCAAATGTACATGTGAACGAAACAAAATGTAAACAAAACCTGGCATTTGCGCTACATGTCAGTCCAACCGTAATTCACCTCTTTCATATTAAATGCACCCACCCTTATTATATATCATTTTATTCAGGGGAAACAGGGCTTTCATTTAATATCAAATATTTAGCTATGAAACATAATTTAATATGAACAAAATTGGAGAAAATAAGATTTTTTTTTATTTTTTGAGTTCTACATGACATTTTAACTGTCAATGTCATAATACTGTTTGCTTTTACTGCAATAAAATACACATATTTGTATTCAGCAAAGTCTCACGTGTAAAACAGTACCCCCTATGTACAGGTTTTATGGCGTTTTGGGAAGTTACAGGGTCAAATATAGCACGTTACATTTGAAATTGAAATTCACCAGATTGGTTACGTTGCCTTTTGGACTTTATAGTAGCCCAGGAATGAAATTTACACCCATAATGGCATACCATTTGCAATAGTAGACAACCCAAGGTATTGCAAATGGGGTATGTCCAGTCTTTTTTAGTAGCCATTTGGTCACAAACACTGGTCAAAGTTAGCGTTAGTATTTGTTTGAGTGAAAAATGCAAAAAACTCCAATTTTGGCCAGTGTTTGTGACTAAGTGGCTACTAAAAAAGACTGGACATACCCCGTTTGCAATACCTTGGGTTGTCTACTATTGCAAATGGTATGCCATCATAGGGGTAATTTTCATTCTTGGACTACCATAGGGTCTCAAAGGCACCGTAACCAATCTGGCAAATTTTAATGCGAAAAAAATGAAACGCAAGCCTTATATTTGACACTGTAACTTTTGAAAACACCATAAAACCTGTACATGAGGGGTACTGTTGTACTCGGGAGACTTCGCTGAACACAAATATTTGTGTTTCAAAACAGCAAAAAGTATCACAGCAATAATATCGTCTGTGTAAGTGCTGTTTGTGCGTGAAAAATGCAAAAACCGTCACTTTTACTGGCGATCTCATCATTGTAATACATTTTACTGTTTTGAAACACTAATATTTGTGTTCAGCGAAGTCCCCCGAGTAGAACAGTACCCTCCATGTACAGGTTTTATGGTGTCTTGGAAAGTTATAGGGTTAAATATAGTGCTAGCAAATTAAATTCCCTTTACTTTCGGCATGGGTTGTCAGGCAGGTCCCGCTAATTGTAATAAATTAAGATACCTAATTATGTAAAAATATTACATAAATATATATGTAGAATTAATATATGTATATATATACGTATGTGAATCTATATGTGTATATATATATAATTTTTTAAAAATATTTTTATTTATATATAGGTATATATATAGTGATATATACGTATATATTTATATATGTAGATATATATATATTATTTCTTTCTACGTTTATTTTGATATAAATATATATATATTAATATCACAATACAGTTAGAACGAAATAACACACATCTATATATTTTTTAATTATTTTTTTTAAATTATTTTTTAAATTTTATTTTTTAACATATTTACATATTTAATTTTTTTATATTATATATAAATATATATAACAATAATTATATATATTTAATCAGTATCAGTCTACGTATAATTTGATATTAATATATATATATAATTATATATATATTAATAGTAAAATACACCTAGACAGTGTGTGTGTGTGTGTGTGTGTATGTATATGTGTATATATATATACTTAGATCATATATATATATATAATATATATATGATCTAAGTATAATTTTTTTTTTTACACTTATTAATTTTATTTTAATTTTATTTCTAGCCAGCAAGGGGACCACCTGTAATTACAGGCAGCCCCCCTGCTGGCAATGCAGGAGGCAGCCTACCCGGCCATGTGATTGTGAGGTCCTCGTAAGGACCTCACTCTCACATGGCCGGGGGGTACCGGAGGAGGAGGATCTGCCGCGGGGGGCTCCCTGGGAGTCCCCCCCACCGCGATCGCCGGCGTGGGACCGCCAGCGACCGGGTAAGTAAGGAAAGACCGGAGGGCGTACTATTACACCCGGCGGCGTTTACAGCCGCCTAAAATAGGGCATAATTGTACGCCCTCCGGTCTTAAGGGGCTAATATCTTTGTGGGTCTCTGTAGGATTATCTGTCTGTGAGTATACAGTTGCAAGAAAAAGTATGTGAACCCTTTGGAATGATATGGATTTCTGCACAAATTGGTCATAAAATGTGATCTGATCATCCACTAAGTCACAACAATATACAATCACAGTCTGCTTAAACTAATAACACACAAAGAATGAAATGTTGCCATGTTTTTATTGAACACACCATGTAAACATTCACAGTGCAGGTGGAAAAAGTATGTGAACCCTTGGACTTAATAACTGGTTGAACCTCCTTTGGCAGCAATAACTTCAACCAAACGTTTCCTGTAGTTGCAGATCAGACGTGCACAACGGTCAGGAGTAATTCTTGACCATTCCTCTTTACAGAACTGTTTCAGTTCAGCAATATTCTTGGGATGTCTGGTGTGAATCGGTTTCTTGAGGTCATGCCACAGCATGTCAATCGGGTTGAGGTCATGACTCTGACTGGGCCACTTCAGAAGGCGTATTTTCTTCTGTTTAAGCCATTCTGTTGTTGATTTACTTCTATGCTTTGGGTCATTGTCCTGTTGCAACACCCATCTTCTGTTGAGCTTCAGCTGGTAGACAGATGGCCTTAAGTTCTCCTGCAAAATGTCTTGATAAACTTGGGAATTCATTTTTCCTTTGATGATAGCAATCCGTCCAGGCCTTGAGGCAGAAAGCAGCCTCAAACCATGATGCCCCCACCACCATACTTCACAGCTGGGATGAGGTTTTGATGTTGGTGTGCTGTGCCTTTTTTTTGCCACACATAGTGTTGTGTGTTTCTTCCAAACAACTCAACTTTGGTTTCATCTGTCCACAGAATATTTTGCCAGTACTGCTGTGGAACATCCAGGTGCTCTTGTGCAAACTGTAAACATGCAGCAATGTTTTGTTTGGACAGCAGTGGCTTCCTCTGTGGTATCCTCCCATGAAATCCATTCTTGTTTAGTGTTTTACGTATTGTAGACTCGCTAACAGGGTTGTTAGCATTTGCCAGTGACTTTTGTAAGTCTTTAGCTGACACTCTAGGATTCTTCTTCACCTCATTGAGCAGTCTTCGCTGTGCTCTTGCAGTCATCTTTACAGGATAGCCACTCCTGGGAGAGTAGCAGCAGTGCTGAACTTTCTCCATTTATAGACAATTTGTCTTACCGTGGGCTGATGAACAGCAAGGCTTTTGGAGATACTTTTATAACCCTTTCCAGCTTTATGCAAGTCAACAATTCTTAATCGTAGGTCTTCTGAGAGCTCTTTTGTGCGAGGCATAATTCACATCAGGCAATGCTTCTTGTGAAAAACAAACCCAGAACTGGTGTGTGTTTTTTATAGGGCAGGACAGCTGTAACCAACACCTCCAATCTCATCTCATTGATTGGACTCCAGTTGGCTGACATCTCACTCCAATTAGCTCTTGGAGATGTCATTAGTCTAGGGTTCACATACTTTTTCCACCTGCACTGTGAATGTTTACATGGTGTGTTCAATAAAAACATGGCAACATTTCATTCTTTGTGTGTTATTAGTTTAAGCAGACTGTGATTGTATATTGTTGTGACTTAGATGATGATCAGATCACATTTTATGACCAATTTGTGCAGAAATCCATATCATTCCAAAGGGTTCACATACTTTTTCTTGCAACTGTATGTCCACGTGTATCTAGGACTAATGACAGAGGTTTTTAAATGATTAAAACAAATATATATACATGTATCCTGTTAAATTGATAATTTATAATATATATCCTGTTAAATTGGTGATTTATAATATATATATATATATATATATATATCCTGTTAAATTGGTGATTTATAATATATATTTATTTCCTGTTAAATCGATCATTTATCATATATATTTATTTCCTGTTAAATCGATCATTTATTAAAACCATTATGTTATTGAGCATATTTGCTCCATAATCAATCTTGTGATGTCACTCAGTAAACCAGGCCTTGTCATTGGCTCTCTGTTGAACCATTGTTCGTTATGACATCACAACACGTGTCATACGGGAGGTAAAGCACAGAAGCATTTGTGCATGTGTTGCAGTAGGAGCACATATGTACAAGCGGTATCCTATCATAGGATAACTGTGAGCAATAGAGAGTTATCAGTGATTAACTGAAGTAAACGATGGGACGGTGCAGCAGTAAGTTAGAAGCTGTACAACCAAAACCCATCAATCAAAATACAGTGAGTAATATCTGTGAGGTTTATCTGTGTGTATCTCATATTATCTGAGTGTATTTAATAATCTAATATTATCTGTGTGTATCTAATATTATCTGTGTGTATCTAATAATCTTATATTATCTGTGTGTATCTAATATTATCTGTGTGTATCTAATATTATCTGTGTGTATCTAATAATCTTATATTATCTGTGTGTATCTAATATTATCTGTGTTTATCTAATATTATCTGTGTGTATCTAATAATCCAATATTATCTGTGTGTAGCTAATATTATCTGTGTGTATCTAATAATCTAATATTATCTGTGTATAGCTAATTATCTCATATGATCTGTGTGTATCTAATATTATCTGTGTTTATCTAATATTATCTGTGTGTATCTAATAATCTAATATTATCTGTGTATATCTAATATTATCTGTGTGTATCTAGCAACCTAATATTATCTGTGTGTATCTAGCAACCTAATATTATCTGTGTTTATCTAATATTATTTGTGAGTATCTAATAATCTAATATTATCTGTGTATCTAATATTATATATGAGTCTATGTGTGTCTGTGTGTATCTAATATTATCTGTGTTTCTGTCTGCGTGTATCTATTATCATTAGTGTTTCTGTCTGTATCTATTATAATCTGAGTGTGTCTGTGTGTATGTAATATTATCTCTGTGTATCTAATATTATCATTGTGTCTGTGTGTATATAATAGTATCGGTGTGTCTCTGTGTGTATCTAATATTATCATTGTGTCTGTGTGTATATAATAGTATCGGTGTGTGTCTGTGTGTATCTAATATTATCATTGTGTCTGTGTGTATATAATAGTATCGGCGTGTGTCTGTGTGTATCTAATATTATCATTGTGTCTGTGTGTATATAATAGTATCGGTGTGTGTCTGTTTGTATCTAATATCTGTGTGGCTCTCTGTATTATTATCTGTCTGTGAGTATATGTCTATGTGTATCTAGGACTAGTGACAGAGGTTTTTAAATGATTAACTTTACTTAGGAGTAGAAATGCTAATTTGAGAATGTAATAGTGTTCTATATATATAGATGGATATGTTGAGTGAATCTGTGCTGTTAGTCTAAACCCTTTCTTTGTATCTCTAGTCCTCCCAGAACTCTGGACAAGTCATTGGAGAGGAGGTGGAAGATGGAATTATCTACACCATCTCCGAAAGTGAAGTGCGGTTTGGCCCTAACAAGGGCAAGCCATTGTGGGTAAGCAGCTTTCTGTCTTCCATGGGCACTGTAGAAGGTTGGCTTGCTGGACATTGTGATGCTGCAGTGAAGACGATAGTGGAAACATGTATTTTGTTATCAGGATAAAAGCAGGGTTATTCACCAATGTGTGAATTGCCTGGAATTCGATGTGAATTTAAAGTAAGAGTAGATCACTGGAGTCCAGACCATGTCTCAATAAGGCTGCTGTGGTATCCCCCTGGCCATGCTGTACAAGTGCATACTGCTGTGTTTTCACACTTTAAAAGCATACCTTTCCATTTTACTTATATCATTTCAAATTCAGTTACTCTACGCTGTGGAATATGTTGGAGCTATATCAATAATACATAAACCGACATAAGCATCACTCCAAGGCCAAAGATCTTCTTTTTACCAATGATCAAAAAAGTTATTTTTACATGAAACATAGTCTGAAGTCACACTGATATAAAGAAATAATGTCCCTGCTTTTTTCTGGCTAACTTTACGTCTTTAGTGATTTTGAAGGAAACAAAAACCCCTCAGAATTCTGCGTTGACAATAATTGTGCTATACTCCCTGTGCATTATTTTTACAGGTATTATCCCAGAACACAGTTTTCTGGCCCTCGGAGACCAGATTTGGACAACCCTTCTTCTACCTTTACACTGATAATCGATGTTACCTACTTCATACATTTTCGGAACACAAGTGACATAACATATAACACGGCTAAGTATGCATACAGTTAACATGCATGCTCATATATGTTGTGAAAAGGTTTCTTGTGGTCTGTTGCTTTGTGCCAAAGATCTTTGTGCCAAATAACAATTAAATCATTAACAATACAGAGAATAAATAAGCTAATAACATTGTCCTTAGTCGTTGTTCAATATTAACTTGTCTTCTCGTTCTATCTTTACTCTGTAAATCTGCTCGGGATGCGTGTTTAGTTTACTTACCCCACCTGGTTAATAAAACACATTGTGTCTGCATCTAACACACAGTTTTTTCTTACAGTTCAATCGCAAATCAGGCTTGAGTGAGACACGTAAGGTGAGAACAGTAAAGGCCGGGACACTGGAGAAACTGGTTGAACACTTGGTTCATGCGTCCAAAGCCAATGATTCCGCCTACGTTACCACCTTCCTGTGGATGTATCGACCATTTGCCACCACCAAGCAAGTTCTGGACCTCCTTCTGAACAACTTAAATGCGGAAAACCTCAATGACAATCCTGATCTGAAAAAGTAAGTTGTTTAATTTCTAATAATAGGAGTTTGTACTGTGATTTCCAGTAATTATCACAGCAGAATTTATCATTGGCTCGTGGTTTATCGCCAATCTAGTGAGTTGGCATGAGTTAACAAATAACCTGCCAATTCAGGTCAAAATAGTGGGGATAATAAAGCCTCCACTGTGTCTGATCTGAATATTGTAGGTGAACGTTAAAGACAATACACACAATTAGTCAAACATTGATAATTTTATTCCAACAGAACAGAACCTTTATCTAAACGAAGTAATGAATGCCATTAGGACAGCGATCGTGCTTTGCTACATGCTCCAGACAGCAAGTTTAGATAGATCAAGGAGCAGAGTAACTAACTGACTCCTCTCAGACAGGTTCACAGTCTTATCTTGTCTGGCTACAAGGGATAGTCCTAAGGAGACTAGAAGCTAATGGGGTTTTCATGCAAATTCTCAAGTTAGAATTGGTTTAGATATAGACAAAGGCCCATCTTTCAGTATTGCTATACTGTGCATTGGAAGGTGCTGAATGACAAATCTGTCTCTAAATACAAACCATCAGCCAATGTCCTGTAACATGACACACAGTTTCTAACTTACCTGAACATAGGTTTAAAGGACCACTATAGTGCCAGGAAAATATACTCGTATTCCTGGCACTATAGTGCCCTGAGGGTGCCCCCACCCTCAGGGACCCCCTCCCGCCCGGCTCTGGAAAGGGGAAAGGGTTAAAAACGTACCTTTTTCCAGCGCTGGGCGGGGAGCTCTCTGCCTCCTCTCCGCCTCCGATCCTCCTCCTGGGCTGAATGCGCACGCGCGGCAAGAGCTGCGCGCGCATTCAGCCCGTCGCATAGGAAAGCATTTACAATGCTTTCCTATGGACGCTTGCGTGCTCTCACCGTGAAAATCACAGTGAGAAGCACGCAAGCGCCTCTAGTGGCTGTCAATGAGACAGCCACTAGAGGGAATAGGGGAAGGCTTAACCCATTCATAAACATAGCAGTTTCTCTGAAACTGCTATGTTTATTAAAAAATGGGTTAACCCTAGCTGGACCTGGCACCCAGACCACTTCATTAAGCTGAAGTGGTCTGGGTGCCTAGAGTGGTCCTTTAACATGTTTTATATCTGGTGAATCCAACTTGTGCATGTTGTCTGTTTTGGGGCAAAATGTGGATGGCCCAAATAAAAACCACTGTTTGTGTGCTGTATTGGCTCACTCTTCTATTTTTCCCGACAGCACGATCTCCTTCATCTTGGGTGTATGGCTAGATCAACACTCCGAGGATTTCCGAGATGCTCCAGGATATGAGTGTCTCAAACAGATCATCAGGTGTGTTCAGCAGAGCATCCCTGGCTCCGACCTGGAAAGCAGAGCTTGCAATCTGCTGACTCAGTTCCAGCAGGAGCAAAACAAAGAACTGGCTCAAGAGGGTGAGTTTTTGATCTGGAAATTGCATTTGGCATCAGAAGGCTCTTATAATAGATTTTGAAATCTGTGGTCTGTCCCCAAACTGCAGTGTAATATCAGCCTGGCATTATTATCACCAGCTGCCAAACCCGATTATGGCACTGCCAAGCACGGGTAACCAAACAGTTTAATGGCAATGTGTGAAATTGTAGGATAGTTTTATTTTCTATTGTGTGTACTTGAAAGAAGGTCTGATTTCTCTTTTTTACTTAATACTTTGGTAGAATTTACTCAGTTTGTATGTAGTGAAAAACATATTCTTCCAGTTACCACAAAATCCAACAATGTACACCAACTTATTTCATTGTCCTTTGTTGTTTTAATGCAAATCTTGTTTTATTTAAATGTGGAAACCTTTGGTTTTGTTTGGTTCTACAGGGGATCCCTCCACCTGTAATCCACCAATTGCCAAAGAGAGTAGTCTTCTCTATACCACCATAGAAGAGGTAGATCTTTTCTCTATACCACCAAAGAAGATGGCGGAACAGTTAACAGCCCTGGATGCTGTGAGTATGACTTCCCTCCTGTCTATTTACGTACTGTGTCCCACTTCCAGATCTTCTCTCCATCATCTTCTGTCATTTACTCATGTTTTTCTTCCCAGTGCTTTCTGTGCCTCCTCTTTTAAGACACTTTGCTACTTTCTGCTGCTGTTTTGCTCCTTTCCCATCACTTCAATGGTTTATTTCTGTATCTGTAAACTGTCTTGGTGGAATATTGTGTCTTATTTTATCACATTTACACTATAGGATATCTTCCAAAAGGTAGTGCTCTATGACTGCCTTGGCTGCGTCTTTTCCAAGAAGGATACACAGAAAAATAAACATGTGGCTCCCACTGTCCGGGCAGTTGTCGATCAATGTCACCATGTGTATGACCTTGTTATGTCTACATGCCTGAAAGACCTGTCCATGACGGCACAGGAGAGAGCCAAGGTGATAGAGTACTGGATGGACGTGGCTATAGTATGTATACCAATATTACTATTTTTCCATCTCATAGTACCAGTCTGGCTCCAGTATAATCATCATTGTTTTACTTCTTTCTGACTCACTTACAGGAGTGCCGTGATATGAAGAATTTCTCCTCCCTGCGCGCTATTTGCGGCGCCGTGGATTGCACTCCAATTCTACGACTGAAGAAATCATGGGAGGGGATTCCCACGTAAGTCTCTTTACTTCTCACGTAGGAATTACTAAATGTCACTTATGACTGCAATAGGCCATAGATACATAGATCAGTGCTAATTATTAAGCTACCAGCAGGAATATTCCACTGGTGTCTATCGGGATTGCTCCAAATGTTGCCCTGTATTTCATATTTAGAGATATGGCCTGTTGTATTTTATAAGTTATTAGAATGCAGTCCATTTTCTGTTGTGGAGAAAAGTTCTATAAGTGGAGCAGTTACCAAGAAAACCACTGGACTGCACCATGGAGACTGCTGCACATTTTAAACGTCTCATCAGAATAGTTCTTTATCTACAGCCTCCATAGAGCTTGTTTTCACACTTGTACTTGTTATAAAAACAGCCATTAAGCTTTGTTAAAGGGTTTCTCCACCCACCATGACCACTTTAGTAGTTTCTGTTAGAAATACTGCACATACAAAGATATTGTTAATTCTGTGTGTGTGTGTGTGCGACAACCAGTTAGCATTCACCAAGAGGAAAAATAGAAAAAAGACTCATTATCCAATTAAATGACATAGCAACTTCACCAGGACACTATAAAAGGTTCACTCAGTGTATTCACACCTGTGATGTATGAGGAAGGAGCCCTTAAGGGTTTATTTACTACATAATCCCATGAACTGAAATGCAGAGTCCAACATGTTGGCAAAAATAAGTGGGTTACAGTTTGGCTAATTTAGCCTAAATGTTGCAATTGGATATTCATTTCACTAGTTTACTAGACCCTCTGAGTACCTTGATTTATACATTTATTTATCTACAGACATAGCAGATGGTGATACACAACTCTAATTGGCAATTTGTGAAACGCGTTGATCTCCCATTTGCTGCATTTCTAATGACCTGTGACTGTATTATTGTTTCTCAATTCATGTCTGACTTAAAAAAATAACTATATTCTTTTCTGTTTTTAGTAAAAAAGTCAAAATGTTCTATGAATTTGTTGAACTCTTTAAAGTATTTGAAGAATATGAAGCTTTGTTGCTTAAGGTGGGTGTGTTTAATGGTATAACGCATGTTTAGATTATAAACATGTAATGGCACCATAGACTCTAATAAACAAACAGCAATCCAAAGGAAGGAGCCAGAGGGGGGCTGGCAGCCTTCGGCCTGCGGGGCAAATCCAGTCAAGTGGCCCATTGCACCAAGAAGAGAGAAAAGACACATTTCCCATGTGATTGAAAGGGTGGGCAGTCACCTAAACAGACACACTCATTGACAGGCACACACACTTGCTGATTATATATAAACACACACACAAACACACCACACCACACTGTTACAGGCATAGTGACACACACACATAGACATACTGACACACACAGACATACTCACAGACACACACACACACGCACACACACACACACACACACACACACACACAAACTTTACACTTTTAAAGCCAGTAGATAGTGCCTGAGACAGGCTTAGTAAGGGGACAGGGCTGTAGTAGAGGGCTATGGGCTGTAGGGGGTATGAGCTGTAATTAGCTGTAGGATGTATGAGCTGTAATTAGCTGTAGGATGTATGAGCTGTAATTAGGGGAATAGGAAATGTAGTGGGGGTCTAGGGTTTGGAGTAGGTTGGTGGCTACAATTTGGGAAAGGGGCTGTGGTGTGGGTGATATGGGTTGCAATTGGGGGAAAGGGGCTGTAGTGGGGATGTTATGGGGGCTGAAGGGGGGACATGGGGCTGAGGGGGGACAGGAGCTGAGGGGGGGACAGGAGCTGAGAGGGGAGCAGGGCTGAGGAAGGGGATAGGAGGCTGAGGAAGGGGGACAGGGGCTGAGGAAGGGGGATAGAGGCTGAGGAAGGGGGACAGGGGCTGAGGAAGGGGGATAGAGGCCGAGGAAGGGGGATAGAGGCTGAGGAAGAGGGACAGGGGTTTAGCAAATGGACAGGGGATGAGGAAGGGGATAAAAAAAACTAAAGTAAATTCCCCAACTCCCTGAGTCTTACCTTAGATCAGGGACGGGTGGGCAGGAGCAGCAGCCAGTAGTCAGTGAAGTTGGCCTCTTCTGATGATGTCAGAAGGAGGGGGCATGATGACTTCCTTTGCTCTTCTCCCAGACTCCCAAGCGGTCCTGTGAGAAGAGCAGTGAAAGTCACGCCCCCTCCTCCTGACATCATCAGGAGAGGTCGGCCGACTACACTCCGAGTCCCCAGCCAGAGACAGGGCCAGGGCCAGAGGCAGGGGATTCTGATTTTTCCTTCTTTTGCTGGATGCGGATGGCCCTGGATTTAGGTCGGCCTGGTGGGCAATTGCCTCACTGCCCCCTGTCCCAGCCGCCCCTGGAAGGAGCCCGTCTCTCTGACACCAGCCTCAGATATTGTGAACTTGTTTGAGGAGTTGTAACCTTTACCTACTCTTTCTTCAATGCCCCCCATCACATACTACTTTAAGAAATTAATATTTTTATTTCAAAAATTCTAACTACAGGTTGTCTATAGAAGTCTGAAACTACCGAGTTCTGCTTTTTAATCAGACATTGGTTGTTTTAAAGCGTTAAACACACGTTTTCTTTTACTTTTAAAGAGCTGTTTATCTAATTTTGCCTGTATCTGTATTTCCCCAGCCAAGCTCCCCTCCTGTCTATACAGTAATGAGAATTGGCTTCAGCATTAGTGGAGCAAAGCACTAATCTTTATCAAGTCTTACTTAATCTTATTCTTATAATTATTTCTCTTTAACACTTTGCTCCATTTTCCCATTTAGGAATCGACTACCAAATGTGCAACTGCAGACGTTAACAACAAAAAGGCAAAGAAACGACTTAAAAAGCAGAAAAAGAAGGTATGAGCTGGGTATAATAATATAATATGGCTGTGATAGATTACATGCCATTTCTTTCCTTTTTTGTTCACCCTCAAGGAAAGGTTAAAAGAACTTAATATGGATAGCTTGGAGGAAAGACGAGACAGGGGGGATATGATAGAAACATTTAAATACATAAAGGGAATCAACACAGTAAAGGAAGAGACTATATTTAAAAGAATAAAAACTACCACAACAAGAGGACAGTGTCTTAAATTAGAGGGGCAAAGGTTTAAAAATAATATCAGGAAGTATTACTTTACTGAGAGGGTAGTGGATGCATGGAATAGCCTTCCAGTTGAAGTGGTAGAGGTTAACACAGTAAAGGAGTTTAAGCATGCGTGGGATAGGCAAAACGCTATCCTAACTATAAGATAAGGCCAGGGACAAATAATATTTAGAAAATTGGGCAGACTAGATGGGCCGAATGGTTCTTATCTGCCATCACATTCTATGTTTCTATGGTGATGGCTGGAAGAATGGCTAACAATATGTGTGTTCATTGCAGGGAGTCGTATATGGCACCATTCCCTATATGGGTCTTCATCTGTGGTACCTAACATTCCTAGACACCAGAAACAAAAATATAAAGGTGAGTAACTGATCCGAGTGTGATCTAGATACTTTGGCTGCTCTGATCTTCTAATTGTGATTTGTGTTACAGAGAGGACTCATCAATTTCCAGAAGAGGCAGGAGGTGAGTATTAAAATCATTGCAGTTCTTTGTATATCCATCCTATCGTTCTGTCTGTCTGTGATGTCTTGGATCTGGCAGTATGGCTATTGGTAATAATGGGATGAAGTTATGAAATCCTACACTATTAAACATATTGCAGGGCAGCACCTTTCCTGCCTTGCCATTAAAGGGAAACTATAGTTAGACTATAGAGAATTGCAGAGGATCATGGGATTTGTAGTTTAGAAAAGCTAGATACGTAGTTTGGTCAGTTTCTGATAGTACATGCAAAGGGCTTGCCTTATTCCTCAATAATATAGTATACAGCAGACACAGGAATATAGTGTATATTGCACACAACTTATTATATTGCTGCCCAATGGTTCTGCGGCCATAACATATCTTTCATTTTGGCTTTGACCGCTCAGGAATTTGAAGTGCTTGCCACATTAAAGCTCCTGCAGGCATCATGCAATAACTACCGATTCACCATCGAGGAGTCTTTCCTGAATTGGTTTCATAGCGTGGAGCGACTGAGCTGTGATGAGACGTAAGTCCAGAGTCTCCTGTTATGAATTTGTGCTTTATCACCTTATATCCTAAAAGGATAAAATAAAAAAAGAGAAGCTCTTTCTAGATGTGAGGTCTTTTCTTGGTTCATCATTCTAGCCTCATGTGTCTATTTTTATTACAGCTATCTGTTATCCTGGGATATTGAGCCTCTTTCCAATTCTGCAAGAGAGAAAATGGGGAGACAAGGACTCCTCAGGAAGTAAGTCCATCTAAAGTTCCCAATCTTTCTTACAAAGCTAGTCGTCAATTGGGGGCTACCTTTTATCCACCCTTGTTATAAGTCCATTGGTTCTCAAACACAGATAGTTCTCATTTTACCAATACGCTCACTTGAATTGAAGTGGAAAAGCCTTTAATTTTGTGCCATTGCTGGTCCCGGTTTGAGAACCACTAATTGATTAGAGCAGGATTAAAAAGCTGCAACTAGGGAATCAAAGAGTCTAAGCCTGGTACAAGAACCTAACTGCATGAATCATCTTAGAATAGATAGTATCAGGCTCTCATTAGGATCCAAGTGGTATGCTTCACAGCCAAGCTAATTATAGCGACATGTGCAATTCGTTTCGGTACGAATTTAAATTCGGATGAATTTCGGCAATTCGGACATTTGGATGCTTCCGAATGTCCTAATTGCCGAATTTTGGAAGTGGCGAATTGCCGAAGTCCCAAATTGCTGAACTGCGGAATTTCGGAAGTGCCGAAGTGCTTCATATTTCTGAAAAGTGACAAAACAGGAGAGGGAGGGAAAATTAAGGGAACGATGACAGGAATCTAACCCTACCTTTAACCCTACCCCTTACCCTAACCTTCCATTAACCCTAACTCTACTCCTAACCCTACCCTTAACACTAAACCTACCCCTAACCCAACCTTCTCTAAACTTACCCTTAACCCTTCCCCTAACCCTACCCCTAACCCTAGTAGGGTTAGGGTTAGGTTTAGTGGTCGGGCTAGGGGTAGGTTTAGTGTTAGGGGTGGGTTTAGGGGTACCGAATTCCCGAAGTGCTGAACCGAACCGCATTTTTTGCCCATGCACATGCCTAGCCACAACACATTTTACAAGTCTTAAAAGACAAATTCCTTTTAAAAGAAAAATGTCTGGCTGTTGATAATTGTGATTGATGCATGTTTTTTGCTCCACCATTGTTTGTGTCTTCTAACAGGCCATCAAACAGCTCAGAGCCCATCCCTGCAACGACATCCCAGCCAAAGAGCACTGACCACCCGGAGTGCAGTCCACAAGTCTCAGACACCACAAACTCTGGTACTACTTTATCTGGATATAGCAAGGCTGAAATGAAGGAAGCCCAGGCAGCCCCATCAGAGCCCGAAGGACCCAGCATTCCCAAAACCCAGGCAGCACCATCAGAGCCTGAAGGACCCAGCAATCCTGAGGCCTAGGCACCAACAATAGAGCCTGATGGACCCATTATTGCGGAGACTCGGGCATCATGTGAAAAAGTAATTAAGAACATTAAGAAAATCAATGGAGATGCTAAAGGGAGAGAAAGAAGAGCTTCAACAAAGAGAAATATGAATACAGACTGAGGGAAGTAGTGAGCAAATGTCACAAAGAACCCTATGTGCATACAGACCCCTTTTCCATGTCACACAGCACCTCATGTACATACAGATTCTCATTCCATGTTACACAACACCACATGTACATACAGATTCTCATTTCAGAGTCAAAACAGCAAAGGAAGCCACATGTATCCCAGCCTTGACAGGGAGAACAAAGAGCAGAAGAGGCCACATGTATCCCAACATCGATGGAAAGAAGAAACAGCAGAAGATGCTACATTTATCCCAACCACGATAAAGAGAGTAGAAACAGCAGAAGAAGTCACATGTATCCCAGCCTCAATGAAGAGTAAAAACAGCAGAAGAAGCCACATTTATCCCAACCTTGATAAAGAGAGTAGAAACAGCAGAAGAAGCCACAAGTATCCCAGCCTCAATGAAGAGTAGAAACAGCAGAAGAAGTCACATGTATCCCAGCCTCGAAAGAGAGAAGAAACAGCAGAAGAAGCCACATTTATCCCAACCTCTATAAAGAGAGTAGAAACAGCAGAAGAAGCCACATTTATCCCAACCTCGATAAAGAGAGTAGAAACAGCAGAAGAAGCCACAATGAAGATTAGAAACAGCAGAAGAAGTCACATGTATCCCAGCCTCGACAAAGAGAAGAAACAGCAGAAGAAGCCACATTTATCCCAACCTTGATGGAGAGTAGAAACAACAAAAGAAGCCACAAGTATCCTAACATCAACAGAGAGAAGAAAAAGAAGCAACGTGTATCCCTGTCTCAACAAAGAGATGAAACAGCAGAAGAAGCCACAAATATATCTGACTCGACAGAGAGTAGAAACAGCAGGAGAAGCTACATGTATCACAATCTTGATAGAGAGTAGAAACAACAGAAGAAGCCACATGTATCCCTGGCTTGATGGAGAGTAGAAGCAGAAGAATAAGCCACATGTATCCCAACTTAGATGGAGAGTAGGAAGAGCAGAGGAAGCCACATGTATCCCAGCTTTGACAGAGAGTAGAAACAGCAGAAGAAGCCACATGAATCTCAGCTTCCATGGAGAGTAGAAGCAAAAGAAGAAGCCAAATGTATCCCAGCTTCGATAGAGAATGGAAACAGCAGAAGAAGCCACATATATACCTGCCTTAATGGAGAGTAGGAAGAGCAAAAGAAGCCAATTCTCGATGGAAGACGCCATGTATTCTATACACAGTGTCCATATAGTGCGTTAATAGTAACAGATTATAATGTAAAAGTAAATACATCAGTAGTTTTCATACATTTGTTAGAATTTGTAATTGAAATAAAAAAATCATATTGTTATAATTAGTTGTTATCATGGTATTTATACAGATGTTGAAGGCGTGACTTAAATATAAATTTTTATCTTTCAGTTAATATATAATTATGAAGTGATAAGTAACAACATTAATATTTTTATAGTTCTTGGTATTATGGTCGAATATGTGCATAGAAAATACACAAAACATTGTAATATTAAAGGATCACTATAGGGTCAGGAACACAAACATGTATTCCTGACCCTATAGTGTTAACACCACCAGCTAGCCCCCCTGGGCCCCTCATGCCTCCATAAATATAGTGAAAATCTTACCGTATTCAAGGCTGAAGCTATAAATCTGCATCCTTTTAGACTCAGAAAAACAAGCAGTCTGCTGACATGTGGTAGCCTGATCCAATCACAGTGCTTCCCCATAGGATTGGCTGAGACTGACAAAGAGGCAGATCAGGGGCAGAGCCAGCATGATTCAAACACAGCCCTGGCCAATCAGCATCTCCTCATAGAGATGAATTGAATCAATGAATCTCTATGAGGAAAGTTCAGTGTCTGCATTCAGAGGGAGCAGATACTGAATCACAGGATGCTGTGCACAGTGCTGCCCTGTGCTCTGCTGACAGCAGATCTGAGTGGATGAAGACATATTATGCCTCCATCAACTCCGAAGTCTCTCTGGTTCACTCTGAGTGACTGCAACTGGAGGTGTTCCTAGCTTTCAATGTAAACACTGTATTTTCTCAGAAAATACAGTGTTTACATAAGAAAGGCTGCAGGGAGCTATAGTTCTCACCTGAAAAACCTCATTAAGCTGAAGTTGTTCAGGTGACTATAGTGTCCCTTTAAATGCATATTGTGATGAACTGAGCCTCGTCACGTGTTCTTGTAGGGGCCTGCTGGCCAGCCTCTTACCAAAAGACTATGGGCCCTTTAAAAAACTATGTGAACAAACTTGGTTCGTGGGATTTTATATTTGGTTCAGGAACCGGAGACCACCCTTGAGCTTGTTAAGCCTAATTGCTACTTTGTAGCAATTTCCACCACAGTGTTCTAAGTGTTCGTCTGGGTGGCCGCAATTCCTATGGACGACCACGAGGTGGTGGCCATCTTGTTCCTGCAAATGCAGGCAGCAGTGTTTGGGCATGAATCTCACGGAACTGAAAACGGACATAGAAACTCCCGAACACCGCTGGACTTTCAGCATCGCTTGCATTCGGTTCTACAACACTTAGAAAGGCGCTGTTCGGTGGAAACATTCCCACGAACAAGGGGATCAAGCTTCAGGGTAAGACTGTTGACTCTGTTTGGTAGTTTGTTCATTTTTAAACTACTTAACTAGACTGACCGCAAGCCCTGATTCTCTGGAACTGTTTTGGGCATTGGACCATGCGAGCGGTCGGTCAAATTATGACTTCTAGGAAATTCCTCAAGCCCTAACTGATTTGGGTGATTTTTGGATATGTTGGTCACCCAGATCAGGGTTATCAGGGGATGTAACTCTTAAGAGGGTTTTTGTGTGTTTTAAGGTATTTTGGGGGTTTTGAAAAATGTATGTTTTTTGTGCCTGGAGATAATTGAGTTTAGTACAGTGCTCACTCAATTATCTCCCAGGCATAGGGGAAGAGTTGACCTATTTTGTATGGGAGTGTCCTGGACCTGAGAGCCAATGTAATTGTGCATATGTTTTTACTGTTGGCTACTCTCAGGTCCGGGAGGAGGGGATGTTATAAAAGGCCGATTATGGCTGCCATTAAACAGATTCGTTTTACCCTTCATGAAGTCTAGGCTCATGTTTGGGGGACTGGAGAGCTGTATTCACTCTGGGGATTGCTATAATCACTATACTCCCTTGGATCACAACACTTGCTCTTGTAAGAGCAACTTGCTTCACTCTCTGGACTAGGAGAGGTCTACCCACTGGAAGCTGGATCCTGGTCTTGGGTCCAGAGTGGGTGGAGGACAACGAGACCCCAACCAAGCTGCGGGAGTTTGTGGGGTTTACCGTGATTATGGTGTCCGGTGCTTATGGTACTCAAGGATTACTAGGACGCAGCGATTGATGGAGGTACCTGGTCGGGGAGACAGGTGGTCCGTCACACAAATTTAATAGAATTATAATAACAAGTAAACAGATGCTAGAATAATGTTAATTTACTACAAAAATTATACAATATAAAACTACGACATATTAACATACAAAAGTCTATAACAGTTGCTAAATGTTACAATGGAATCACATGGTTCAATACAAAACATGAACAAACTTATGAACAAAGTTACACAGGCCCCAGACTCTAAAAACAGTCAGCTGCTACATTCTTAGGCAGTCAAGGGGAGGGCAAAAGAGATCCTGATAGTATAAAGATGTATGGCTCATCTATGTTTTCTAGAGAGGGATCTTGCAGAGGCAGAGGGGGAATCCATACTAAAAAGGGAAATCAAAGGAAATGTAAAACCACAAGTCCCAGCAAACTCAGAGGCAAACTAACAAGTAAATGTCAGGAAAATTATAAAATCACAAGACGAAAAAAGGAATCCTACCTTCTGATAACATAGACCCACTCCAAGCAGCCAATAGCAATGCAGAGACCAAGAGATGAGAATCAGAGCGCTCAGGATCGCAAACAGCTGATGCAGCATGCAGACAGAAACTCAGAACCCACAGGTTTAAATGCCGGGGAAAAATGGCAGTTCCGCGCATGCGTAGACCGCTGGAACGCACGCTATGCGTTCCAGACGCTCGCGTCATTATCACGCGACCCTTACATCACTTCCGGTCCTGCCAGACCCGGCCGCGATGTCACTACCGCCCGCTGAAAAGCACTACTGCTTTCCAGCGATCACAAACAGAACGAATGGCAGCAAAGAGCCCCAGGAAACCAGTCCGAATTGCTGAAGTGCCAAATTGCCTAATTTCCGAAGAGCAGAATTTCTGAAGTGCCGAACCGAACCAAATTGCTAAAGTCCCGATTGCCGAAGTGCTGAATTTTGGAAATGCTGAACCGAACCGAATCGTGGAAGTGCTGAATTTTGGAAGTGCTGAATTTTGGAAGTGCCGAAGTGCTTCGGATTTCTGAAAAGTGGCAAAACAGGAGAGGGAGGTAAAATTAAGGGATATGATGACAGGAATCTAACCCTAACCCTACTCCTAACTCTAGCCCTAACTCTACTGTAACGGAACCGCTGGCACCCCGACCAGGTACCTTCCGCCGACGGATGCTCCTAGTGCTTTCCAAGGACTCCAAACACTCTGCCCGACACCATAACCACTGCAGATCCCACGAACCGCCGCAGCTTGGTTGGGGTCTCGCTGTCTCCACCCACTCTGGACCCAAGACCAGGGTCCAGCTTCCAGTAGGTCGACCTCTCCAAATTCCAGAGAGCAGGAACAGGAACAAGCTCTTAGCAGAGCTTAGTGATTATAGCAATCCCCAGAGTGTAGTTTCTCCAATCCCCCAAACTTGAGCCGAAACTTCATGAAGGTACAAGATGATCTGTACCTTTAATGGCACATACTCTGCTTTTATGCAATTCTCCCCTGCAAGGGAGACGTCCACAGACAATTATACATTACCCAATCACACAATGGTTACATCCCACACATCTCCTCCCCTTAGCCTGAGAGGTAACCCAATTATCTATACATTTTAAAACACACTTTTTACCCAACTTTCATAACTTTTTACCCAACTTTCATAACTCCAAAACTATACATCCAATATTAATAAAGTCACATATTATTAATCAGCACATCCCAAATACAAACATACCCAAAAATCATGCAAATCCTTCCATTAGTTCAAAAGTTAGTTAGAAGTCCTTTGTGACCAAAGGAAGCATGGCTTTTCCTGCCCAAACCAGTTCCTACTGGTCTGGCAGTGTCCCTGGGACAACTCCCTGCTGGAGAACAATGGAGCTGGGGGAGGGGAAGAGGCACACCTTCCCATGAATTCAAAGGGGCAGAAAAAGTGTATCAAAAGTTTCAGTATGTCCATACACTGTTTTTAAAGGGCCGACACCATACAATAAAAGTCCATAAGCCTAAATAATGTTTGTAAAGGGCCATACAACCCAGGGCCATAGTCATGAGGCAGGAGGCTGGCACTCAGGCTCCTCCAACAGCCAGGGGCAAAGGGCAGCTTGTCACCTAAAAATACAGTGACAAAAGGCATTTCGTCACATCTACCCCTAAC